TTTCTAAAAGATAATCCTTTCTATGATGTCATTTTTAAGTGTCGTAGAATTCGATTCACAACCTATAAATGTTCTTCAGTTCGGTTATTCATAAATTAACTTACAATACTTACAACAATATTCGGCCTAGTGTGTGAGAGAGAGATCAGCTTTCTAACTATCTCCAATACTGCCCCTTGTTTACTATAGGACTTTTCCCTTGTACTTTGAACCTGATATTTGGTTCCACTAGGGTGTTTGCTGGTTTACACTTACTCATCTTGTCTCCTTCAGTACGTCAATCACATACTTTACTTGTGCTACAATAATTCCTTTCCTAAATCCGTGCTACTTCCATCCCAAGGAGGTACTTCAAATTCCTGAGATCTTTGGTCTTGAAGTTTTGTATTTCTTAAGTTTTGTACTTGAATTTTGAACAAAATATCATCCACATAGACGATAAGTAAGACAATTTTGCCCGTTTGGGAGTGCTTCACAACAATGTGTAATTTCTTTGACACTGTATAGATCCGCACAATTGCACTGCTATATTGAATTGGCCGAACCACGCTCTAAGAGATTACTTCAATATATAAAAATGTTTTCTTCAACTTACAGACCATATTCATATTATCCTGTGTCTCAAACCTAGAGGGTTATCCGTGTAGACTTCCACTGCAAGTTCCCCATTTAAGAAAACATTATTCACGTCCAGTTCGTAAAGTGGGTAATCAAGATTTGTTGCTAACGATAACAGTATCTAGATTGTGTTCAACTTCACAACATGGAAAATGTTTCATGGTAGTCAATACCATATTATTGTGTGAACTCTATCGCAACTAGCCGAGTTTTTAACCTGTCAATTCTGTCATCGGCTTTATACTTCACAATGCAGACCCACTTACAACCTACTGTCTGTTTTCCTTCTGGTAATGTTGTGAGTTCCCATGTTTCATTTTTCTTTAGGGCCTTCATTTCTTCCAACACAGTTATCTTCCAACCTGGAATACTCGAGGCTTTGTGAATTGTGTTGGGAACATCAGGATTATCCAGACTTGTAACAAATGCCTAAACTTGAGCTGAATTGTCTTGTGTCAAATTTGCCATGGTGTTGCAAGTGACTATAAACAAATGCAGTGCACCCAAAGATTTTTAGTGGGATTGATGAAATGGTTCTGTCATGTGGATAGGGTGTAAGCAATTTTAGTATTCAAGAAGACATTCTATTGATGAAGTTAGCAACAGTGAGTATGGCTTCCCCACAGTCTTCGGGTTTCCAAGTTTGGTATTTTGGGTTGTTTATGGCTGGCGGATCATGCCTCCTGTAAGATAGTAATCATTTCCCTTTCCCGCACACGAACTCGTGACAGACTGCAACCGAGATAGGTAGTTTGGTCATTTAACTTGTGCAGTGATGGACATCATCAGATTATCCATCCCTTTAGTTTCCATCAAACTGTCGATTGCACAACTTCTGTCTTTGAGGCTTGAAGATGGACAGTCATGCAGTACTTCGGCATTCTAGGTATTCTAGGTTAGATGGAAGAGAGAACCATGCTTTGATATCAAGAACAAAGCTGCAATTTCCTTCGATACTATTACATTACTTAAGGGTTGGATACCAAATCAGTATCCCCAAGAATAGAAAAGAAAATTTACTTCTAAAAGACTTAGGAATTTTTTCTCTAATTGGAATTTTAGTATCAAATTTAGATCCAATTTTTCTCCTAGTTTTCTCCTAATATTTTTGCATATTTCTTCTATTAGATTTTCTCCAAATATTTCTACATATATGTATACTTTTTAAATTATAAAAAAAAAACAAGTATTCTTACCGTGGGCAGGCGGCTGCTAACATTGCTAAGCTTTGAATTGATGCCCCCAAATGTTGAACGTTGAAGCATAAGTGCCCCAAGTGTTGACTGAGCTTGTGATATCACAGTATCCATCTGTAACACCACTCATAATAAGAGAAATTTCAGCATAAAGCACTAAGGATTTCTTCTTTTATTTGTTTTTTTTTTTGTTAGTAAAAAGCACCAAGCAAAATAGAGGAATTTAATACTTGCCATCAGTTAGAAAAAGTTGCGGATGTTTCCCAGACATGTCATAACAAGTAATAATTCTCACTTCCAACATAAATGAAAAACCTAATACCTATGTTACAATTGAAAAGAAAATCCCTGAGATTCAAAAAACACACACAGAAACTACATAAAAAGCCAAGTCCATATATTTTATCTTGACATGAACAGGACTATCCTCTTGGAGGATGGCAAAGATGTGAACGAGCACTTTTCAGTTACCTCTTGATGTTTATATAAACAGAATTTTTTCCTTGAGAGAGAGAAATGTTAACGAGCACTTTTCACGACCACATAAAAAGCTATGTCCATATATTCTATCTTGACAAGAACAGGACTATCCTCTTGGAGGACGACAAAGATGTGAACGAGCACTTCTCAGTTACCTCTTGATGTTTATATAAACAGTCTTTTCCTTGAGAGAGAGAAATGTTAACATTTTTTAAAATAAAATAGTATGGTGTGATTCATTACATACACGAATAGGGTGGAAACCCATGTACAAAGATATTCACATGTTGATCAAAACAATTACAAGGTTCCCAAAGTGCTCAAGCGAATAGAGAGGATGACCCATAGAGTCTGGAGTCATCCATCTTTTACCCTTCAAAATCATCTTCCACACCCCTAAAAGCTCTCTTGTTTATCTCTTTCCACACCACCAAAAAGGTCGCAAGAGCAATGAGACTAACATGTTTTTGCACTCTACTAATGCTCTTCCATACCCAAATTTATTCCTCACTGAACCACCCATCACCCAATTGATATCCAAGAGTCCATAAGCAAAGCTCCACAATTTATACACAAAAGGACACCATAGAAGAATATGATTACACAGCTCCACCTTCTTTTTACATAAAAAACACTCATTCACCAGAATAAAAATGCATTCTACCTACAAATGAAGCATCTTTCTCCTACCACAAGCATGTGCCAACCAGGCTGGTCGCAAATGGATGGGGCCTAGAAAAGCTTTGCATAGTGCAGAGATATTTTGGATGGCAACCTGAATAAGTGATTTCTCTGATCATCCGAAATGTGCTCAAGATTTTATAGTGGATTGACACACTGAACTCTTGTTCATTGGAGAACATTGAGTTACTTTGACACAACAATCATATTTAGAAATGTCATGTAAAAAGTTTAAATACTTCAGACTCCACTCAACTTGAGATTCAAATACTAACTAGCATTAGAGTTGTATATAAATATACAGATAGAAAGAATTTTGGTCCAAAATGAAAAAACAGAACAGATGTACCTGCCCTGTATTTCGGCTAATGGCTGCATGCTCTTTGAGAAGTAATTGTTGCTCCGTGGATCCAACACCATCTTCCAAGTCTATCCTTGACCGATCAAACTCCCTAAAATCCTCAAGAAGCGAAGCATGCTCCTGTTTAGCTCTAAGACTGGAACGGAGACGATAGAACTCCTGCATTTAAACCATGGCTAACATTACATCATTACCATTCAGAGTATCTGCAGTGGTTCTTAGCAAAAGAATGTAAAATTGATGGAAAAAGGTCAGAAGTTAGGGTGTATAGACAACCAGTTCAATATCCTAACAATTTTCTCAAGAAAAATAAGAAATGCATTCACAAAAAACCATGGAGATACCACCCAAGTAGGAAAGGGATTCACAAGGAAGAAAAAGACAAAATATCAATAAGGTCTCCTGAATCAACTCCACCAACGAGAAGATAATCTCAAACAAAATATAGTTCTGGAACCAACAACCTCTAACCTATCAAAAGGACTGGAATTGTCTTAAAAGTTTCTTTTGTCCTTTACTTCAAGTATTCTAAAGCTTTAAAGCAAGCCTCTACTATCTCAGAGGAAAATTTTACGATTAAGCTAAATGCTACTTCAACATGGTAATTAACTAATGAACAATAGAGTGCTCAAACTAATGCTGCTTTAAGAGGAACAATTCACAACCATATTTATCGATTTCAGTCCAGTTCCCTAAGAGGCGTTAATAACAGTTAAATACATCGCATGCGTCAATTTTATGACTGTTAAATTATTAAAATAAAAGCAAGATAATAAATACTTTACTTGAAAAAAAAAAAGCTAAGGTTTTAGTTCATATGGTGAAAAAAAGCAACAATGAGGGTGCAAGAAGAATGAAGGGGTGCACAGAAAATTATTGTTTAAATAATTAATTAGAAAATAATATTCTAGTTTTTGAAAGGATTAGATTGTTACTTTCAAAAATAATAAACTCAGTTCAAATTATATCAAAGATTAAATACCTCTATGTAACTTAACCTTTTAATAAACAACTTGTGCTCATCCCAAAATATTATATCTGCTACATGTGGAAGTTCATGGAAGGGGATCATTGATCAACACATGGCAGGGGAATTTTATTGGTTTAATCAATTGGTCCAGCACGTTGTTTTTGCAAGAACTTTTGTTTCATTTGTACTGTTCTGCCTCCTTTTTCTCCAACTTTCCCCAACAGCACCTGCATTTTCCTTGTTTAATGAGGTAGGTCTTCATTTCTACCATATCTTTCTCTAAGCTCACCCACTTAATCCTCTACCTCACTTCATATCTCATCTCCCCCTCTTATTGATTGCTTCAGTTAAGGGTTGCCTTACAACCATAAAAGAAAACAAGTAGGAAGCTCCCTTTATTTTTTCTCTTTTTACAAGAGCTGTGAAGAGATACAGGATGACAGAGAGAGATGAACCATGAGCTGAGAAAAGTGATAAAGTAGATGGCGGATGCCAGCAATACTATGTTGAGAGAGAGTGAAAGAGAAACCTGAAGAATGGAGATAAGAAAATGTAGTCCGATTGCCAAAGGGTGAAAAGGCAACGGAGACTAGCAAGAAAACACTGACCTAGAGGGAAAGGTAAGGCTTACATGAAAAAAACCTCAAATCAAAGAGTAATTTGAGTTATCTGATTTGATATCTTTCACACTTAAAGCAGTAACATCAGCATTACTGTGTTCTTCCAAGAACCATCTCATTATAAATAATCGAGCATCCACTCCAGGGTGCAGAAGTTATGCAGTACCACAACTCTGCCAATTACTTTCCCTTAAGGCATCCTCATAAAGCCATAGTTTGACTAGATAAGATATGTCATCACATGCATACTTCAGTAGTATTTTTCAATTAACTCTTAACTTTTAGTAAAGTTATATTGACTAATTTCTTATTTTGATAATCAGAATTATAGAGTCTGCAGGTTTTAATTTATGTTAAGGGTTTCCTTAACAATGTGGTGTTATTTTTGGTTTTGTCTGTTATGTTGTATGTCTCTGTTTTGTGGAGTTTGACTGTGGAGCAAGCTATGAAATTTGAGTTTATCTGATAATGGATTCTTTTTGTTAAAATTGTATCTGTTTGAATGTTAGATGAACTGTATCTGATTGGTAACTTTTCCAATTAGAAGAAATTGCATTTTGACATTAGGTGACTTATCTGATTATTGATCTTTTTACTTACATGATTGATAGATATCTAACAGGAAATTTCTGGACAGTTTCTTTCCTTATCTTTTGTTTGTTCTTTCACTTTTGAAGGACATCCAGTCCTCCTTTGATATGTTTAATTTCTTTTGTAATATATTTATTTTTCTATCAAAAAAATCTTAATAGAAAAGATTATGTCTGGCACCAAGTTTGATCTCTTTATTCTACTTCGACTTTGTGGCAAGAAGCAATTTTTGTAATCTAGCAAAGATTGGTATGGCTAGATACCTTCTGAATTTGCTCAGTTTGGCTAGAAGAATGATTTTTGATTGAAAGATTATTTCTTTACTTGGCTTATCAAGGTCCCGCCACCTATTGTAGATTTTGTGGTTGATTTGATACTAGGTTATTGTGTGAGAAATAATCTATCCTAGGTAAGAGCATTTTTATGTTGAGTTTGTTTAAACAAGTCAAACCATGTGGCCTCGATAGTTCTTTTTTCTTTTTTGTATAGAACATGTGCCATGCATAGTATTGAACAGTTCTTAGGGGGGCAGTTTTTATCCATAAGATGACAATGTCAGAAGCCTTTAACATAGCTATCTGATCTTGAGAAAGAAGGAGAGGAAGAAGAGAGAAATAGAAGAGAAACAGAGAGGGAAATCTGAGAAATAATTTTATTCTTTTTCTTGATTGATTATAATATAAAAATTGAACTTTTTATAGGTTATAAACAATTAAAACAGCCATTATCATGGCTGGAATCAATGCAGTGGTGGCTGCTGTGAAATAAATTCAAAACATTAACTCTAATTTTAATCTTAATTGATACTTGTAAAAACCTAATTTATCCTTTTTATTATTTCTCTTTTTTTTTTACTCTTAATGCCCTGTCTTTTAGCATCAACCTTATCCCCAAAGTTAAAATATAATTTATTATTATTATTATTATAGATACATATATATTTTTTTAAAATAAGTTTTTTTTTTTCTTTTTCATATATATAAAGTTATATATATATTGATTATTATATATGTATACATATATATTTTTGCTGAAGCATTTTTCTACTACTTCCACCCGGTGAAAATTTGATTTCACGGATTGGGCCCCTCCACACGACCGATGCAGCCGCTGCCAGGCAATATAATCTTGCTGCTGAAGTAACACCTTCTTCCACCTCTTTTCTCGCTTCTCTTCTTTCGCTTCTCTTTTCGGATCAAACCATTGGAGACGAGAGACTGCAGTTTCATCTGACTCGCACGGATTAAAGCAAAACCCGAGTAGAGCTTCTGGGAGGTAGCTCTTTCTAACTGGTTGGCTGCGGCCAACGAGGGAGAGACCTCTAGGGTATTCATTCCCAGCCGCTATTGCTTGAGATAAAAAGAGAAGGGGAACAGGTGAACCAGTTCCGTTCAAAATGTTGGCTGGACCAATTCGAATCGGATAAATTAGCGAAACTGGTTCGGTCTGTATTGTTTGGCCCAGTTCAATAACTGAACCGGTTTCAAGATTTATTTTTTTATCTAAACCCCAATTTTTTTCTTCTTCTTCATCACGCAGAAGAGGGGTCGGCTGTCCCTCAGGTGCGGCCCCTTGAGCCGTCCTCGCATCTCCGGGAATGCCTCCGCCAAGCGTGCCAAGCTTTCTTCGGTCCAGTTAGCAGATCTGCCACAGATAAGATCCAAGATCATGCTGAATTGCCGCCGCGATTCTTTCTTGAAAGCGGTGAGTTTCAGGTCGATCTCCTTCACAGTGATTGCTTCCGGATTCTCCGGTTCTGATACCACATTGTCAAAAGCCTTTAATATGACTGTTTGATCTTGAGAAAGAAAGAGAGGGAGAAGAGAGAAATAGAAAAGAAACATAGAGAAAAATCTGAGAAATAATTTTATTCTTTTATTTGATTGATTATCATATAAAGATTGAGTCTTTTATAGGTTATAAACAATTAAAGCAGCCACTATCATGACCGGAATCAATGCAACGGTGGCTGCTATGAAGTAAATTTAAAACATTAACTTTAACCCTAACCCTAATTGATACTTGTAAAAAACTAATTTATCCTTTTTATTATTTCTCTCTTTTTTTATTCTTAATGTCCTGATAGCTAGTTAATCTGTAATTAACAGATCTATGTACTTTGGTTCTATGATATGCATGCAGAAAATTTGTCTTAGAGTTTCTTAAGTACTCAAGGAGATCTTCCAATTCTCTTTTAACGAGGCCTAGTATTCATCTCCATTCATAGGTTTAAAAGGAAGAAGAGCCCGAAAAACTTTGCTTTAACTTTAACTGACTTCAAACTCCAAGGATCCATAACCAGATAAAGGGGATTGGAAGATACCAACATCACACCTAACAACTAGTTCTGAAGCATCACATGACAAGACATGATTGCATAATAATCAGTTAATGAAAATAAAGTCAGAATAATTTACCAACCAATGGCTTAATCTCAAAAATTGAAATTACAAAAAACTTAAATATAAAATCCTAATCTAACTATATCAGGCAACTCACAACTTGCAAAAATTTAAACTATAAATAATATCATAAAGCTAGCAGAGTCCTAATACCCATATACTATAATATATTGGTGACAAGATAAAAATAGAATTCATAATCTATTTACAAAATCTAGTTCATATCTATTCTGCATCACCAAAATATCACACAATTACAAAGATATTTCTTATCACCAAAAACGTTACGTTTTAAAATCTTCTCATTCTACACCATTCTCCCCCACTTTGTGAAAACTTGGCTTTGTTTTTGAATGAAGAAGCATAAAGACAGCAAGGTTGGGACATTCCATTCAAGAACATCCAAAAATCATGATTTAGTGACTAACAATATCCATTGGGAAGATTAGTTCGTCAGAAGCATAGATCCGTTCCATTAGATTATGAAAGCAAACAAGACAAAGCAAAATCACCAAAAAGAAATCGCTCAACTTGATTACTGATAAAGGAGCAACTTCAGAAGATGTCAATGTTTCTTCTACAGTGATGGTGATTTGGTAGAAACATCAAGCTTCCTCATTTTCCAGAGCAGTAACAGCCAAAAATTTTAGCTCATCATTCACATTTTGCATGTTCTATAATCAATTTTTTAACTTTTTGAGTATAGACTTAACTCGTATATATATTTAGTTTATACCAATTATTTTAGATCCAAGACAATTTGAGAAAATTTTTAACACAAACAGCTTCTCCAAGATATTGATACTAATACAAGCTTGATTAGTTACGCTATGTTAATGTCAATGCTTTCTATTATTCCATGTGCACCAAAACTTGATGTAAAAACATCCTCTGTAATCAGATAGGTAACATGATAAAACCAAGAGTTGTGTTAGAAGCCTTTGACATGGCTGTCTGATCTTGAAAAAGAAAGAGAGAGAGAGAGAGAGAGAAGAGAAATAGAAGAGGAACAAACAAAGAAATATGAGAAATAATTTTATTCTTTTTATTGATTGATTATAACATAAAAATTGAACATTTTATAGACTATAAACAATTAAAGCAACCACTATCATATCCGGAATTAATGCAGCAGTGGGCTGTTGTGAGGTAAATTCAAAACATTAACTTTACCCCTAACCTTAATTAATACTTGTAAAAGACTAATTTACTCATTTTATTACTTCTCTTTATTTTTTTACACTTAATGTCCTGACAATACTTTCTCCTTCAACATCAACCTTGTCCCCAACGTTAAAATACAGCTTATTATTATTATTATTATTATTATTATATATAGATATAAAGCATGTTTTTTTTTCTTTTTCATATATATATATATATATTTTAAAGCAGTTATATATATATGTCTTAATTAATATATATGTATATATCTTTTTTTTCTGAAACATTTTCTACTACTTCTACCTCATAAAATCAAATTTTTTTATTATTATATATAGATATATATATATATTTTTTAAAGCAGCTTTCTACTATTTCCACCCCGTGAAAATCAAATTTTCACGAATTTTCAACACCGCTATGGGGCGTTGTAATCACGCTGCTGCAGTAACGCCTTCTTCTTCCACCTCTTCTTCTTCTGCTTCTCCTTCTTCCGCTTCTCTTTTTCCATATCAGAACCCATCTGGAGAACGAGAGGCCTGCAGGTTCCATCTTCACCTTGTGCGGATTAAAGTAGAACCCGAGCAAAGCTTCTGGGAGGTAGCTCTTTCCAACTGGTTAGTCAAGGTGAACAAGGGAAAGACCTCTAGGGTGTTCATTCCCAGCCGCCATTGCTTGAGAAAGAAAGAGAAGGGGAGTAGGTGAACCGGTTCAGTTCAAAATGTTGGTTGGACCGGTTCGAATCGGATAAGTTAGCGAACCTGCTTTGGTCTGTGTTATTTAATCCGGTTCAATAACTGAATCGATTTCAGGGTTTATTTTTGTATCTGAATCCCAAATCTTTTCTTCTTCTTCATCACGCGGAGAGGGCTCGGCTGACCGTTAGGTGCGGCTCTTTGAGTCATCGGCCTCGCATCTTCCAGGAATGCCTTTGCCAGGCGTGTCAAGCTTTCTTCAATCCAATCGGCGGATCTGCCACAGAGCAGATCCAGGATCATGCTGAACTGCCGCACGATTCTTCCATGAACATGGTGAGTTTCAAGTCGATCTCCGTCACGGTGATCGCTTCTAGATTCTTCGGCTCCAATACCACTTTGTTAAAAGCCTTTGACATAATTGTCTGATCTTGAAAAAGAAAGAGAGAGAGAAGAGAGAAATAGAAAAGAAACAGATAAGGAAATCTGAGAAATAATTTATTTTTTTCCTTGATTGATTATAACATAAAACTCGAGTTTTTTATAGGGCATAAGCAATTAAAGCAACCACGATCATAACCGGGAATCAATGCAGCAGTGACTGCTGTGAAGTAAATTCAAAATATTAACTCTAACCCTAACCCTAATTGATATTTGTAAAAATACTAATT